AGAATAATATCTCGTAGACAAATTAATTGCACACCAAGTAAACGCCAAATAAAAAGTGCATAATACTTTAATACTTTAAAAATTTACATTAGTTTTTTGAGAAATCGGAAGTAGCGTAAATTACTACTTCTGGTCAACGGAAATTACTCAAAGGTAGAGAATTAGATCTTTTACTTACATGTGAAATTTCATTTATCTATCTGAAATAGTACTCAAGTTATTCAAAGTAGGAAAATTACCACTTCCGTTTATCGGAAATCGCTCAAAAGTTGATACGCATCAACGATTTTGATAAAATACTTATATATGAAATTTCATCAACCTAGCTGTAACGGTACTCAAGTAATCGTGTTTACACACGGACACACACACAAACACACACACAGACATACGGACAAGATTGCAAAATTATGTTTTTCCGGATCAGTGAGGTGTAAAACGTCGAGATTTGTAAAAATCTCGATTATTTTTTTTGCACGATTACAAGACTTTCTCTATACTTCGTATATACGAGAAAGTAAAAAAAATGTGAATGCAACATCTGCGGACGACCAAGGGGCGAAAACATGGTAGGTAAAACACGAATGTTTTAAATAAGTGCAATATGGTAAGTAAAACACGGGTATTAAATATTGCCTTTTGTTTATTGTTTTGGATAAGTTGGTGTATTACAGTCGTTTACTAAGTTGAATCAGGCGTTTCCGTCGTCGTCCCTGCATGGCGCGATTTTGCACCACGGGCTTAACTGTGAGCAGTATGCGTTTAGGTTTGCATTTAAGTTGTGTTTATCTTAATGCGTTGCGCGTTTGCGTTAGCTAAGGCGTTTGTGTTTGCATTTTCGTTTGTGTTTTTTTTGCGTTTGTGATAATTGTTTTCTTTTGTGTTTGTGTTTGCGTTTGTATTTCTTTCTTTTATGTTTGTGTACCGAGTTGGTACATTTAAAAAAGATTCACTGTGGCGGAGCATGGGTATGCAGCTAGTATATATATATATATATATATATATATATATATATATATATATATATATATATATATATATATATATATATATATATATATATATATATATATTGCTGAAAAAATTTCGTGGCTATAATGTATTATTATATTTTCTTTAATAACTAATCCACGCTAATTGCTTGTTTAGATCGTTGTCAAGGAGATGAACCGTCTTGGCATGATGGTGGACCTGTCTCACGTCAGCCACAAGACCATGTTGGACGCCCTCAACGTGACCGAGGCTCCGGTCATGTTTAGCCACTCGTCGGCCTACAGTCTCTGCAACAACACCAGGAACGTACAGGACGATGTGCTCGACAAGTTGGTAAGGTTACACCACACAACAACACAACATCGACAAGTTGGTAAGGTTACACCACACAACAACACAACATCGACAAGTTGGTAAGGTTACACCACACAACAACACAACATCGACAAGTTGGTAAGGTTACACCACACAACAACACAACATCGACAAGTTGGTAAGGTTACACTACACAACAACACAACATCGACAAGTTGGTAAGGTTACACTACACAACAACACAACATCGACAAGTTGGTAAGGTTACACTACACAACAACACAACATCGACAAGTTGGTAAGGTTACACTACACAACAACACAACATCGACAAGTTGGTAAGGTTACACCACACAACAACACAACATCGACAAGTTGGTAAGGTTACACTACACAACAACACAACATCGACAAGTTGGTAAGGTTACACCACACAACAACACAACATCGACAAGTTGGTAAGGTTACACCACACAACAACACAACATCGACAAGTTGGTAAGGTTACACTACACAACAACACAACATCGACAAGTTGGTAAGGTTACACCACACAACAACACAACATCGACAAGTTGGTAAGGTTACACCACACAACAACACAACATCGACAAGTTGGTAAGGTTACACTACACAACATCACAACATCGACAAGTTGGTAAGGTTACACCACACAACAACACAACATCGACAAGTTGGTAAGGTTACACCACACAACATCGACAAGTTGGTAAGGTTACACTACACAACAACACAACATCGACAAGTTGGTAAGGTTACACCACACAACATCGACAAGTTGGTAAGGTTACACCACACAGCCCATCTTTGACAAGTTGGTAAGGTTACACCACACAACAACACAACATCGACAAGTTGGTAAGGTTACACTACACAACAACACAACATCGACAAGTTGGTAAGGTTACACCACACAACAACCCATCTTTGACAAGTTGGTAAGGGACGTGCTGTTGGTGGACTCGTGGGCTTAGGCTAGTGTCCTAGGAGTCTAAATTAAATACAAAATACTATTTTATTATGTTGACATACTTATATTTCACGACGTGGCCGATCGATTGTAGAATATATTTCCCGTCAGTTGCGGTTTCAGAACCCATGTCTTCATTGTCAATGCTGTTTTTTTTTATTACTTCACTTACATCCCTCTCACTGATCCCCAAGTACTCGGAGGGAAATGACATTGGACGCAACAGGGGGAATAAGGATAGAAATTAACTTCTAAATGTACAATACACTTTACATTGTAACACGTCAGCGTGTACAATGACACAAATACACACATATAATCATGTTCATGTGAGCATACAAAACAAACATACACCTTTTCAAATACGCACACTAAAAAACACATGCTTTTTTATGCAAATAGGTACATTCAAACATATTCACCTAAATACAAGCACTTTTATTCAAAACGTTTTAAAAACATCTGACTAGATTAACCCGAATTCATTCGTATACAGATAGATAATGTTGGAATGAACCATCTAGGTGTACAACAGTTATATAAAACAAATGTAATATCATATTTTTCAGGAAAAAAATAAAGGAATAATAATGATTAATTTTTACCCAAACTTTGTGACATGCAGTGATAATTCCACGATTAAAGATGTTGTAGGTAAGATATTTTTTACGTAAACAAGAACAGTTTAAATCATTGTTTACACAGTGTAATACAGCCAGTTTTTAACACGTTTTTCTTAACTCAGCTTCGCGTTTGTTTGTTTGTTTGTTGTTAAAATTGACATCGAAAATTAGCCCACTTCTGATTGCTCTAGAGACCTGAAATTTGGCATGCATGCTACTTTCGCCTAACAATTTCAGATGCAATCATAAAAACTAGCAATTAGTGACCGTAATTAGCTTAATTTAATTACGCCCCAAGGACCATAAAATTGAGGACATGATTTCCAAAGATACCGACAAGACTTGAGGCCTATTGACACAGTTACTTCGGCCCCAATCGATGTGAGCGCGCTGGCCGTGATCGTATAGTGGTTAGTACTTCGCGTTGTGGCCGCGACCACCCAGGTTCGAATCCTGGTCGCTCAAGATTTTTAGTCCGTGTATTTATAAACACTTTTTTAAAAACCACGTTTTTCATGTGTAGCAACGGACTAAAAAGGAGAAAATAAAATATTTAAAAAAAACGTTTTAAAAAACCACGTTTTTTATGTGTAGCAACGGACTAAAAAGGAGAACGGACACGGTAACACATTGTTAACGGTGACACGGTTGGTACGCTGGGCATGCTAAAATACACATAAACACGTTTTTCCTTAACTCAGCTTCGCGTTTATTTGTTTGTTTATGGGAGATTTGATCACGTGATTCGTGAGTAGATCTCCACGCCAGCAACGTAAATTACACCCTTTCTCTGTTTAAAGCGTATCGGTCGCTCAAGATTTTTTTAGTCCGTGTATTTAAAAACACTTAGTCAAGTCATACTTAATCAAGTGATTAGATAAAGTAGAAAATAAACTATATAAAAAACTTTTTAAAAACCACGTTTTTCATGTGTAGCAACGGACTAAAAAGGAGAAAATAAAATACTTAAAAAAAAACTTTTTAAAAAACCACGTTTTTCTTGTGGACTAAAAAGTAGAAAATAACTATTTACATACATTTGATGACAAAAAACGTGGGTCGGGCAGATGGGTCGGGAAATTTGATGGGAAACGTACCCACGTTTTTTGTCATCAAATGTATGTAAATAGTTATTTTCTACTTTTTAGTCCACAAGAAAAACGTGGTTTTTTAAAAAGTTTTTTTTTAAGTATTTTATTAAGCAACTGACTTTATTTTTTTTAACGTTATTTTCTTACATTTTACTGACTGCTTATATAGGGTGGGACGGCGTGTCGCAAGCGGTAGAGCGCTAGACTGCTAACCCGAAAGTTTCGAGTTAAAAAAGCCTGACCCAAGTCGGTAGTACATCCCTTAGTCCACCCAGCTCTGATGGGTACCTAGCCCATCTTAGGAAAAGTAAAGGCGGCTGAGAAAAGCACTGACTATCCCTTCTCTACATATACTGAGGTCAAGAACTCTACGTATTCTGCACATTAGATATCTAGGGCTAAAGAGCATTTTTTTTCTACTACATATAAACGAAACGATAGAATGAAACAGGGCAAGAAATATATCGCTGATGTTGCATGAAAAAAGTAGCTATCTATATATATAATTCTCTTCTTGGATACCCTAGAAAACACCACACTGAAAGCGCGCCTAGCAGCCCCCGTCTCTTACTCTCTAAGCATACCCCTACCACCCCCACCCCACATGGTCTGGTGAGCTGTGGTTCACGTTAAATGTTTACAATCGTAGAGCCGGGTTTAGTGACGGATATTAGGGGCAGGCAGAAAATTAAGTTTGAAACGATTTTTAAACTTAGTGGAGGTAACTAAGAGGAGGCTGCTTTCACGGGGGGGGGGGGGTAGGGTGGGGGTTGAGGGAAAGGAGGGTGGGGAGGGGGGTATCGTCTTTAACGACCTACTGATAGTGTTTTAAAGCAAATATTTTCAGTGGAAGCATTGGTACTGTCGAATTCACAAATTATGAATTACTAAATAGCGGCATATGATACGCCGCGGGTCGGCTCGTGAAAAATAAATGAGTCGTATTTTAGAACATAGGTGAACGTCTTTCGTATTGATATTTTTTAGAGCATATCAATTACGTCAAAAGAAGAATAGGAACAAAATATATCGGCATCGGTGGAGATTTCGATGGAGTTGACATGTGAGTAGAACACTAAAGGTTTTTATAAAACTTGAAATACATATCTGATTATAACAATAATGACAAAACAAAGTGTTCGTACTTTATTTTATTGATTTATACTACATGTTAGAATTTGATATTAATAATGACTCCAATTGAAAAGTAGTGAGGCAATTACAAAAAAAAACATCTCTGTATCACTAGCGTGACTCAAGGACTGGAGGATGTGTCCAAGTATCCGGATCTGTTTGAGGCGTTAGTCAAAAGTAACGAGACATGGAGTCCAGAAGATATAGAGAATCTTGCTGGGAAAAACCTCATTCGGGTCTTTAAAGAAGTGGAAAAAGTAAGCATATTATTTTGTCGTATGGTACGAAAGTTGGCTTATGATTTTTTTAAATGCTGCACTTTGGCTAGCTATTATTTTTCAAAATGTGTCATCATTTTCTCTATTGAGAGCTCACTGTTTTCTCGAGTGGTAATATAGTGGGCTTATAAGTTTGTCAAATGTTGTAATAGTAGGCTTATGATAACAAAGCAGAATCTTGTTTATGCTTGGGCAAGTATTATGCTTTACAATATTTACGGATCGGTATATATATATATATATATATATATATATATATATATATATATATATATATATATATATATATATATATATATATATATATAATCTGTACACACTGGTCATAATACACCGTACAAAATTAACACTAACCTATGGAATGTGTTTGTATATCCCCCAGATTAAGCAGGACTTAATACACCTAAAAGTATGACCTTTTATTATAACACTAACGGCATGTAATGTGGTTGTCTATTCCCCCAGGTTAAGCAGGACTTGATAAACCAGCCGCCCTCTGAGGATTTGATCCCCGAGGAAACGTGGAGAAAAAATGATTGTCGCACGGAATTCTAGGAAGTGCAGATCTCCTCGGTTTTGTCTGCACCACTTGTAAATACATTTGTAATGAGAAATAAAACTACTAAAAATATGGATATTGCGATATTGTTTTGTTTTTTATTACATTTAATGTAAATTTCTGACATATTTTCTCTTAATGTATTTTTCTCTTATTTTATAATTCTGAAAAAATCGATTCTAATAGTTATTTTGTTACGAATCTGCCTTGCAAGTATATTAACCAACATAATTATATACGTTTAAATAAAAATTTAAAAAAGCAAATAATAGCCATTTTGTATACACTAGATTATTTTACTTTTTCATTAGGCTCATGGCATTAGGAATGGGTGAAAATCATTTTATCAATCTATTTATTTGTATTAGTAAATAAGATCCTGCTACATTATATTTATATAACAATTTGTTGTAAAACTTGTTGCAGTTCATTAAAGCCTTTAAGTTAAGCTGTAAATTATCAATTATTAGTGTAATTGTAAATTATCATTTATTAGTGGTTTAAGTAAGTAGACCTACTACTGAATAATATCAAAGATATACTAACAATATACACTTACACGAGCGTGTGAACAACCCACATCTCCCTACCTTTCCACTTTTCTTCCAACTTATTAAATTAACATCGATATTGTTAGACCTCTATTCAGATGCAGATCATTGACGCACAGAACAAAACCTTTGATCGACCTAACCAATCAAAAGCTCGCTAGGTTTTCTGTCACGTGACCAAACCAGAGCCTATATTAACCCAAGCACAGGTAAGAGACCCCTGGTGCGTTATGCTGACAACAGTCTGCATCTTTCAACACTTTGACTTCAAACATCACGGCCGATGCGAACCACACCACAACTGTAGGGTGGTGTACACATCACACCACAACTGTAGGGTGGTGTACACATTACACCACAACTGTAGGGTGGTGTACACACCACACCACAACTGTAGGGTGGTGTAAACCTCACAACAAAACTGTAGGGTCGTGTACACATCACACCACAACTGTAGGGTGGTGTACACATTACACCATTACACCACATCAGTAGGGTGGTGTACACCTCACAACACAACTGTAGGGTGGTGTACACACCACACATGTAGGGTGGTGTACACATCACACCACAACTGTACGGTGGTATACACATCACACCACAACTGTAGGGTGGTGTACATATCACACCACAACTGTAGTGTGGTGTACATATCACACCACAACTGTAGGGTGGTGTACACATCACACCACAACTGTACGGTGGTGTACACTTCACACCACAACTGTGCGGTGGTGTACACATCACATCACAACTGTAGGGGGATGGTGCAAGCATTAATTGCGAGATGTGAACAACAACAGCAATACTCGCACCCGACGATAGCCGATACACATATATATGTATATAATATATATGCCCATAAGAAATCAAGATGTCAACAATTGTATATAAAGGGCATGTTAGCACTTTTAAAACACCTTTACATTTTATACCACAACAAGCTGATATATCTTGTTAAAATGGATGCCCGGAATGGAAATCATGCTTGGACATAGATTTTGGAGAGCTGCGACACTGCAGTTGCTGAGTGACTCGAGGCGTCAGAAACATGTTGCTGAGTGACTCGAGGCGTCAGAAACATGTTGCTGAGTGACTCGGGGCGTCAGAAACATGTTGCTGAGTGACTCGGGGCGTCAGAAACATGTTGGTGCAGTGACTCGGGGCGTCACGAACAAATTGCTGCAGTGATTCGGGGCGTCAGGAACAAATTGCTGCAGTGACTCGGGACGTCAGGAACAAATTGCTGCAGTGACTCGGGGCGTCAGGAACAAATTGCTGCAGTGACTCGGGGCGTCAGGAACAAATTGCTGCAGTGACTCGGGGCGTCAGGAACAAATTGCTGCAGTGACTCGGGACGTCAGGAACATGTTGCTGAGTGAAAAAATAAGGCATATTGACGTCTACGTTGATCACACTAACGATGTTCCTGTGAAAAAAAACAACTCCCCAACGGCTCATCTATAAATATTTCCTCATCTTCTGATCATGTATCCGGAGATCATGTTGATTGTAGTGATTTCATGGAAATCTGAAAAAGATAACGGGTCACGTTTTGTTCACCTCTCGTTCACACTTAACAACAAATATAGCAAGCGTTATTTCGAACAATTTCGTACTTTTATCGTCAAAGAAAAATCGTAACCTCATTATTAAATATACCATTGGGTAATGCACCACACTACTGATGTAGATACCATTTATAAAATCTACTGTTATACAAACGCCATTTTTAGGAAATCTAATTTGAAAACAAATTTTGATTTAAAATTAGATTTTGTTTAAAAGGGCATGTAGGAAATCCCGGGCGGAAACTGTAATTTGGGGATTTGGTTATCGAGTTCTAAATTATGGAACTTGGTAGATTCGCCGTGATTCGAGAGATACATTCTGCTGTTTCTGCTTGCCGGTTTTGACCTAGTGAATTCTGGGTTATACAAGGGGCGAGGTTAAAGTGTAGACAACATGTAGAAATACAGGGTTGAGAGCAAATTGTTGGTCGAAGATTTTGAGATCTGACCTCTGCATAAGTCGACTCGCGCGATACTGCTTTTATCGCCACGCTACATTTTGTGGTACAAGCCGATCGTAACCGATGTTCCGTTTTCAACTGTATGTTCCAATTTTCTTTGATGCTGTGGGCTCAGATTTTGTTTATATGAGGAACGCAATCAATCTGTAGACCACTCAGATATACTATTGCAGACTTTCATTGTAGAAGTTCGGATCTTGCCAAACTTCTTGAGTAGCGTTTGGGGAGACATTCACTGTAGACCTTCGGATCTGGTCTATTTTTTTCCGAGTAGTGTATAGGGAGACATTCATGCGACGTTCAGATCTTGCCATACGTGGGAGACATTCATTGTAGATGTTCGCTTTTCGTCAATACGTGTAAACATATATTGATGAAGCGACACATCTCTTGAGATCCGACGTCTGCAAATGTGAACGTGCAGCGATACTGCTCGGGATGATACATTTGTGGTGTGTTTACTATGCGATCGTTAGCTACATTCTGTTTTCGACAGTAACGTTCCGATCTTCCAGTTGAGTCTTCGTCAAACGATGTAAACTGTCGTGTTTGTTCAGCCACCGCATTTTTCTTCCAGAATGACGCAAATTACTTGTGCTTGCCTTTATACAGGCTCTAGTTAATCACATGACAGAAGACGTTGCGAGATTCTGATTGGTAAGGCCCATCAAGGATATGTGTTGTGCGCGGCAATAAGATTGATTAGGTTCTTCACTGGCGTTGCGTTGTGCGCGGCTACATTTGCATAATTTTGTAATGGTCTGTGCCACCAACTTTCCGCTGTGTGTCGTGTTGTATAGCCCTGATGCAAACAAAAACGACACACACCCGACTCGTATGATTTACAGTAAGATTTTGTCAGTGATGATGGTAGAACAATTAAGAAGGGTTCAATTACTGCGTATATGGAACTGCTGAGGATCCCTACCACTAAAAAAGATTAATTAATAACCACTGTATTAGAATGTGTTAAATAAAATATATTCACATTTTTTAAACAAATAATTGGATGACATGATTTATTACTTCCCATGCGTTGTTCTTATCAAGTTAGGGAAGACATACAATAATGATGTTGCAAAAACAAAATAATAATTTGTTCCGTAATTATTTTTTTAATAAATTATTTCTTAAAGAAAATAGCTACTTGGTTCTACGGACAGCTTGTGTGACTGATGTGTGTGTGTGTGTGTGTGCGCGCGCGCGCGTGTGTGTGTGTGTGTGTGTGTGTTCTCAGAGGGGGGTCTCTTTTTTCGCTAACGTGAATAAATGTATAAATATGGCGGAAGGGGGGGGGAGGGCAAAATTGATATTTCGCCCGAGTGCCGAAATGGGTTGTTACGCCTCAGAGTGCTGACCACACTATCCTTTTATATGTCGAAGTCTCTGAAAGAGATGAACTCTACTTCATCTGCCTCATGTGTCGTGATGAAAGTAATGCCTTGAAATAATTATCGTCTATTATTGTACTGATAGTTTTTTTTTTTAATTCCAATGTTTCAGTTGTGTGAGGTTAGATTTAAAAATGAACCAATTAAATTGTTTAAAAAAAATATGTTGATTAAATAATTTTTAAATTTAAAACATGTTTTGCTCCAATATACTAAACAGCGGAAAATTAAATGCATTGATCGCGAATTTTAAAAAAAATTAACTGTATTAACCAACGCGTTTCAAAGATGGGTATGCATAGTAACTTAAACTTAAGTGCCCCCCTCCCCCCCCCCCAATAAAATGTAATTAATAACGTTAAGCTAGGGTTGAATGTAAATTAAATTTAAAAAAAGCAACTCAAGAATGAAATGCTATGTGAAACAAGGGAATCAACTTAACAATAATTGCAAACTACACAAAAAAACAAAAACAATGCATATAATGTAGAATAATAGACAATTTTACGTTATAAAACTTGCCATTTACAATAACAATAGTTTTCATAATTAAACAGTTTTTATTTATTAAAATTATTATACTACAGAACCATAACTTTTAATATTTAAAAATGTGCAGGTAATAATTTTTCGTTTGAGATTTTAGAAAATAAATGATCAATTACGATATTTGAAGCTTTACAAGAATCTGTAATTTTTATTTAAATTTTGGATCCCTTACTAAAGGGACAATTAAATTAATTCTCAGTTTTAGATACTCCACATGCCCTACTTCAGGGGTCGGCAACCTTTTGAGACGAAAGAGCCAAAAGTTACAGTATACAGCATTACCCGGATTTTAAAGAGCCACTAACATTTTATGTCAATAGTATATTTGTTTAGGAATATATATATATATATATATATATATATATATATATATATATATATATATATATATATATATATATATATATATATATATATATATATATAATCCTAAATAAATATCATTCTATATATAGGCCTATACTTTAAAATAA